CTCTCCAACCGGGCAACAAAACATGAGAAGAGGCACCCTGCCCCTTGCTGGAAGAGACAGTTCCAGAGTGTAGGTGAGAGCTCTGAGATAAGGCAGAGAGAAAACTCCTTCAGAGCAAGGACTGAATCTGGGCATTAAATAGATTGCAAGTGAGGACCATGGGTATGAAAAACCCTATGTTGTATAAAGGTGTGGAGGCTACTAGGGAAGCCAGAGGCATCCTGGCGTTGTGATGGATGCTGTCTTCATAGCCCAAAAGATAGAAAGGGAATCAGTACAGGATGTTTGTTTATTCACTCAACAAACCTATATTTGGAGTTACTTACCCAGTTTCTGTAGTAAGACCTACAGAAAACATATATCAATAAGATGTCCTCGAAGAGCCAATAGTTTAGTGGGGAAGTATGAGGGGGAAAAAGAGAGAGAGAGAGCAGATCATTAAAATACAGCATCTTAAATGCAAGGTTAGAGGTAGAAAAAAATAAAAAGGCACCATGAAACAGAGAACAGGATCAATTAATCTAACCAAGGCATCAAGGAAATCTTCCGAGAGGAGGTGGACTCTGGGTACACTTAGAACAGTATCTGGCACATAGAAGATGCTCAAACATTTGTTGAATGAATTTTGTAGAAATTCAGAAATAAGAACACACAGTGATTGTCTACAAGCTGCTTAAGCATCTAGAGAGATATGGACAAGTAAAGCAAACTCCATATTGTGTGGTTGACTGGTCACATACTGAGGGGACACTGCTATGTGATGCTGTGTGGCCTTGCCCAAGTTTGTGATCTCTGTGACATCAGTTCCACCATCTGAAATACAGGGATAATAATGTCTATTTCACAGTATTATAGGGAAGAATGCATTTTGAAGGTTACTTTAGTATGGTGTCTCATACATACCAAGTCTTCAATAAATAACAAATATTATTAAAGTATAATTTCATGAATGAAAAAGAAATAAACCATATAATCACATGTCACAAGTCATAGCCACTGACTTCCTTCACAGCAGAAACCACTGCAGGACCCAGAGTCCTGGAAGAGGGTCACTGAGCAGCAGTGGGTGCAGAAGGAGGGTCCTGGTGGCGGGAGCTGGGAGCACGGGGTATGTGTCCTGATCAGCTGCTCCCCAAGGGGAGCCCGGGGATGGGCACGCAGATGACAGGGTCTTAGTCTCCTCTTCCTACAGATTAACTGTGATATGTTACAAGGATCTTTCCCAGGGATAACATCATATGAATATCCAGAGTAGAGCCGGGAAGAAACTGGTAGGGTTTGACTAGACAGAAAAAACCTAGGGATGGATGGGAGACGATGCCTTGAAATGGGGAGGAGAACAAAGAGATGGAACTGGAATTAACAATGTGTGTGGAAAGGAGGGTTCCCTAAAGAATGACCCTAGAGATAAAGTCCCAAAGAATCCCCCTCGTGGCTTTCACTCATCTGCAAGATGGGATTATCATCTGTTCATGTTGGTGGCAACTGTTCAGCTAGCCTCCCCTCCCCAGGGTGAAACCTTTTGTCAAACTGAAATATTCACTCAGGAAAACCCCCCAGGGCACCCATGAATGAGGCCAGGTCAGAATGATTGGAGCAAAGGAGACGGGTAATGGTTTTAAGGACCAAATGGGGAGAAGAGGGGAGAGATTGGGAATGAATACCTGCTTTCCTTTTAATGTTAATCCTGCACAGTGAGCATTCTTGAAAGGCTTCATCTGTTTGCAGCAAAGAATTTGGTGAGAAACTCTCAGTGGGGAGATAAATACCTGTCAAAAGCTGTATAGAATTTCCCAGGGAGAAGACTTGTGTGAAAGCCTTTATTTCACCAAGAGTAAAGAAACAGGTATGTTATGTGCATTGTGGGAGAATTAGCGAGACATTTCTCATCTCTCCAGAGAGAAAGTCCCAGAGAGGGCTCTTTCCTGCGTGTGTTTTCAAAGATGTTTCATATGGGAGTGTTTCATGTGCTGGACACGCGGACCTCTGCTGATGCCTCTTTGTTTTCTCTTTTCCTGCAGATGGATCAGCACCTCCGACTCAGTTATAACTTCTCCTCAGAGGTTGAGTTCAGGGCCATCAGGTCCCTCACTTTGGGCAAAGTTACAGGTTTGTTTTTCTACTCCATGCCTTTCCAGCAAGCTCTGTTAAAATAAATAAAGTAATAAATAATTTTCACCAGGGGAAGCACCAAGATGTGGATAATATCCAAGATGTAGAACCAAGAGTCCTGCTACGGGAGGCTGAGAGGTACGTGTGGCAGGACCACAAAGTGGCATGTATATCTACTTTGTAGAATCCCGAGTGAGGTAAATGAACAAAGTGATTCACCAAAATAATTATTTTTACCTAATTTCAAATTAATTAAAGTGTTTACTGAGTTCTTTTAGTTAAATTTATGTAAATTTCACTTAAATAATTTAAGGATTTGAACAGCCCAATTATTTAATTCTGTAAGTCCTTAATCTGTTTTCTAATTTATTGAAAATTCAAAGAGGATTGGAATCTCCTACGATAATAATGGATGTTCTTTTTTCCTACAGGAAGTTCTGTGAATTTTCATTTTGTGTCTAATGATGACTTTTATTAGGTGTAAGCAAGATTGAAATTTTTATATATTCTCTGTGAATTGAACTTTTTTTTCACACTGAAATAATATTTTTTAACTTTAATGTCTCCGTGCTTAATCTAGTTTGTTATTAATATAGCTAATTTGTTTTTGCTTTAGTTAGTATTTGCCTGGTATATCATTTTCCATATTTCCCTTTCAATCTTTTCTTTGTTTAGCCTTATATATGATCTTGTGAAGAGTTATAGCTAAATACTGCATTTTTATCCAGTTTGGCCATCTTCTATTTTATAAATTGGCAAATGTAAGCCCCTGTGCCTTTGGGGGTTAGTTGTATGATTGGGTTTGTTTCTGCCTCCTTATTTTCTACTTGTCAACTTTCCTGTGATTCTAGCATGTTCTTTCTTATTCTCTCAGTCACAATACAGTGTAGAAAACATTACTAACCCGAGGCATTTTAAGCAGGAA